ATGAGACGAAGACACTTGACAAAATAGTTGCAATATTATTATTTATTTATTTTTTCTCAACCTTTATTTTTTGAAACTAGAAATTGAAGGAGATTTAATTTTCTCAGCTGAAAGAAAGCTGAAAGAAGGCATCAGAAACGTGCAGCGCTGGATGTATAAATTCGTACTGAAGATACAAATAAAATTGGACTGGTTGCTTCCATTTGGAAGTGCTGGGTGGAGTAATGCTATTCATACAATATTTTTGTTCTACATTTCTATACCATCTTAGGTGGTATTTGATGTGGATAACCATATCATTTGAAAAATTTGCAAAACCCAGGGAAATGAATGAGAAAGACTTCTCGTATACCACAATCATCATTTAATAAATTAGTTTTTCTTAATGATTAGTTTATTAAATAATGAACTAAATTTAAAAATCTGATTAATTCAAATAATATAGATGTCCACATCAAATGCTACCTAAGATGGTATGAAATGTGGTACAAAAACATGATATGAATAACATTACTCGTGCTGGGTGTAGAAACATCCAGCGGTGGGGAGGGATGGGCAAATACCCATCGGTTAGGGTAACCGCGGTTATCCGACCATTTAAATTTCACGGTTACGGTTATGGATAACCGTTTAAATAAATAAATGGTTATGAGTATAACCGTTTACCCGCAAAATTTAAATGGACGGTTATGGGTATTAACCGCGGTTATAAACGGGTAACCGTTTACCTATTTATTTATATATGTAAAATTAACACAAATCATATTCTCTATCGGACAAAACTTAGATCAATAATATTAACTATAGTGCATGATTTATTTAGCTAATATAATATAGTTTTTCTTAACCACTTAAAATTTCATGGTTCATTATATATATTATGTTAATACTTTACATTTCTAGTTAAATAACTTAAAAATATTCTCTTTTAACAATTTTCGTAATCCAAAAATACTTAACAAATTTTATATTACATTCATTGTTTACAGTTAAAAATATCAGAGAAGGAGAAGAAGAAAAAAAGTAAAAAAAATTCAAAACATTAATTAATAGTGCTTTCCTCTTTCCAAGGCAGAAGAGGAAAAGAAAACCCAAAAAAATAATGTGTGTTCAGCATTCCTCTTTCCAAGATAGAAGAGTTTCCAAGGTAGAAGAGGAAAAGAAAACCCAAAAAAATAATATGTGTCCGGCTTTCCTCTTTCCAAGGCAGAAGAGGAAAAGAGGAAAAGAAAACCCAAAAAAATAATATGTGTCCGGTTTTCCTCTTTCCAAGGCAGAAGAGGAAAAGAAAACCCTAAAAAAATAATGTGAGTCCGCTTTCCAAGGCGTAAACAGCTCCACCTTTTGCCTTTGGGAATCCTACCTGATGTGAAAAAGGGAGGGGGGGGTGGGGGTGGGGGTGGAGGGGAGGTGTCAAATCTCTCACACGTGAATTTTTATGAATAAGCATTTGATTTTTAAATGTTTATGAACAACCCAACCCACTAGATGGGTTTTTAAACATTTGTTATTTAAAGACTAAATATTTTTTTTATATTTTATCAATTTTTTATTATCTTATTCATGAATTTTATATAAATATAAATACATAAAAAATTTTATGTGTCAATATGTATTTATTTACAAGATATACAAGAAATTTATTTAAATTCTTCTAGCCCGCCTAGGCACCCGCCTAGATCCCGCATAGCTGTTTAAACGCTAGGCGTTAGCTCGCTGCCCGACTAGAGTCTAACATTTTTTAGAACCTGAAATCAAATGAAAGACACGACAGAAGCTTTAGTGGAGGGACTTGGATTGTCTACCCTCCTAGTTGTGGTGTCCTTCCATGCCCTCCTATTTTATGCGGTCACGGTTAAGCCACGTCAATATTTTATATTTTTATTATTTTTTGTCTTATTATCTTATTAAAAAATTAATATAAAATATTGACGTGACTTAACCGTAACCGCACAAAATAGGAGAGCATGGAAGGGCACCATAACTAAGAGGGCAGACAACCCAAGTGCTTAGCGGAGCGCTTGCTAAAACTTTACTAGCTACCAGCTACTAGGGCACAAAAGTAGAGGAGGAAAAGAAAGAGAGAAAATGATAACACCCACCGTTTAAAGGAGAAAAAGCAGAGTTAACACAGATAAAACAACAAAAAATATCTTGTAAACCCTTGATTAATCGGTAAAGCACATCACAACCAAACAGTCAAGAAAATAATTGAAATCAATTTTATATTTCTAATCAGAAGACTTGCAATTTATTTTTTAAGAAAACTAATAAAAAAATTTGAGAACTTTAAAAATAAAGGATAAAGTGAATAGTACCAGGTTTGACTTTTTAGTGTAAAAATATGATTTTTCGTTAAAGTAAAAAGTACCACGAACTTTTCGTTAAAATATATATATATTTTTTTAATACGTTTTCAATCTGTGGCACTTCATTCTCAATAAACAACATTTCAAAAAAAATCAGATCTGCTACAACATCAAAGGACAGACCAAATAGGAAAACGACATCATTCATTGTCCATATTGAAAGAACAATCCCACTAAAATTGACCACTCATAAGAATCTCATTACACAAAATTTCTTCAGTCCAGGCCTAAACAACCGCAAGGAAAAAACATCCCCAAGATACATAAATAAGCACACTCAAAGAATCTTTTGCTAGCACGGCATGGGAATACAGCTTTGGTAATTCAAGGTAGGCCTATGAATACTTTTTACCTTTTTTTCCATTAATATATGGACCAGGACAACATCTCATATGCAATATTGAATTCTGATACTTAATGGCCAACAAAAAGATGATGGTGGCGGAATGGACCCTGAAGCTTTAAGGCGCTGCATAAGTTTTGGATTTTCAGATAAAAAATCAGAGTTCACCATTGGACAATGCATACCAAGAAGAAGACGAAACTCTTTTTTTTTTTTTTTTTTTTTTTTCTGTCTCTTGTTTTGAGGATGAAGTGGATCCAACGAGCTTACCTTATTATTAGAGAAATGAAAAAAAGACTAGGAGAATAATTTATAAGATCTGGTTCTCTAATGTTGATTATGAATCTGAGACAGTAATATAATTTCGTACCAACTAAGTTTTGATGTTTTTGTTTTCAAACCTCGCATACATATCATCATAGCATATCTAATTTAAAAAATTAAACAGTAAGTTAATGAGCTAATGGAAAATTATGTCCAATGCCCAATGAAATTTGGAATTAACTAATGAAAAATTATGGATTTTCTATAATTTCGTCTGCTGCTACTAATATATAATATTTCAATGCCTAATATTCCATCAACTGCTGTTATGTACTTATATGGATCGGAAAATTTTTCAAGGGATGCCAATGCCCATGCATTGGCTCCGCTAGTGACCGTTAGACAAGAGTTTTAGTAAATGCTTCAATTTGCTAGATGGTATGTAAAACGAGTCAATTTGCTTCTTTGAAGTACTTCTTGTTTCTTTTGTTTATGTAGATATTTTTTAGTAAATGCATGAAACTCAAGAATCAGAATGGTTCTAGTTCCTATTTTATATAAATAAGCATGTCATATTATATGAAATCATAAAAATATTAGATTGAGAAGTCATTTAGTATTACGGTCTAGTGATATTCTTTTAGATTTGTAATTGATAGTTCTTAGGTTCGATTCTCGTCAGCAACAAATTTGAACCACATTATTGATAGCCTATTGTGAGACTTAGTCTACTTTCTCATCCCTTTAATGTAAATAATATCGTTTGTTCAAGTAGTAATAATAATAATAATGGATTGAGGTTTGAAATTTCCTCATTCCAAATGGACTCCAATTTATGACTTTCTTTAGTCTATTAGCATTATATGATCAACATAAATGTACATTATGATATCTCATCATTCCTTTTACTTTTAACGTATAATGTTGCTTTACTGGCAGTCGTCTAACGGTTGCATAATTTTAGCAGGATTCAAGTTTACTTCAAAACAATTTTACACCTTATGAGATGAATACACTTGACAAAATAGTTGCAATATTATTATTTAATTTTTTTTTTCTCAACCCTTATTTTTTGAAACTATAAATTGAAGGAGATATAATTTTATAGCCAAAAGAAGGCGTCAGAAACGTACAACGCTGGGTGTATAAATTCGTATTGAAGATACAAATAAAATTGGACTGGTTGCTTCCATTTGGAAGTGCTGGGTGTAGAAACGTCCATCGGTGGGTGTACAAATGATAGCGGGTTATAATAGCGTGTGGGCCCAGGGAGTGGTGGGGGAGAGAACATGCGCTGGAAATCAAATGAAAGACAACACAAGCTTTTGTAGAGCACTAGCCAAAACTTGCCTAGCTACTAGGGCACAAAAGTAGAGGAAAAGAAAATGAAAAAGAAAAGGACAGGCACAAAAGTAGAGGAAAAGAAAAATAAAAATAAAAACACATAGAAGAAAAGAAAAATAAAAATAAAAATAAAAACACATGCACATGCACAAAAGCCAAAACCTTATTTTTTGAAACTAGAAATTGAAGGAGATTTAATTTTCTCAGTTGAAAGAAAGCTGTAAGAAGGTGTCAGAAACGTGCAGCGCTGGGTGTATAAATTCATACTGAAGATACCAATAAAATTGGACTGGTTGCTTCCATTTGGAAGTGCTGGGTGGAGTAATGCTACTCATACCATATTTTTGTACTACATTTTTATACCATCTTAGTTGGTATCTGATGTGGATAGCCACATCATTTGAAAAATTTACAAAACCCAAATAAATGAATGAAAAATACTCATCCTCGTATACCACAATCATCATTTAATTAATTATAATTTCTTAATTATTAGTTTATTAGTAGAGCATTAGCCAAAACTTTACTAGCTACTAGGGCACAAAAGTAGAGGAGGAAAATAAAAATACAGGAACCAACGGCTATAATTTGTGAAGGACGCAACTGGCATTAAAAAACAACTTTCAATTATCAAGGCCAGCTGTAACACATGATGTGTGAGTGGCGAGAGATGGGCATATAAAGACTTGCACGAGGAGCCATTTTTCACCATGCAAAATCATATTCTTAATCACAACCTTCCATTTTAATTCACTGCACTTGAGTTTTTGCTTGTCCTGAATACAAGAAATGGCCGAAGGAGTTCTCTTCAACATTACAGAACGGATCATTGTAAGGCTTGGCAGCCGTGCTTTCCAAACGATTGGATCGATTTGGGGTGTCCAAGATGAGCTCAACAAGCTCAAGGAGACGGTTGCCGGATTCCAAGCTATTCTTCTTGACGCTGAGCAAAAGCAAGCCAACAACAATGAAGTAAAACTGTGGCTCGAAAGCGTAGAAGATGCAGTTTATGAAGCCGATGACGTGCTGGATGAGTTTAATACTGAAGTTCAACGAAGACAAGTGATGCGTGACAATGCTAAGCTGTCAAAGGAGGTACGCATTTTCTTCTTTAGTTCAAATCAACTTGTGACGAAAGATGAATCATTAGATAAAAGATATAACAAGAAGATTCGAGAGGTTGCATCGCGTAGTACGTTTTCATAGTCACATAAGCCTATTGATATCCACCTATTAGGAATACACTAAGTTTCTCAATAACCCATAATTAACTACAATAAGTTTTCTATATTATTATTTTGAATGTTTCATATAACTTACCATTACAAAACTTTATTAACTTAATTAGTACAATTCTATCGAAATAATGATTATGTTTACTCAAATTCTTACAGGTGTGCATTTTCTTTTCTAGCTCAAATCAACTTGTTTTTGGGCTGAAAATGAGTCATAAGATAAAAGATATTAACGAGAGGCTTCGTGAGGTTGCATCTCGTAGAACTTTTCACTTAGAAGTAGATCGTGAAGATACACCATTTAAAAGGAGAGAGAGGGTCACTCACTCATTTGTACCTAAAGAAAATATTATTATAGGGAGAGAGAAAGATAAAAAGGCAATTGTCCAACTCTTGTTGGATCCCATCTCAACTGAGAATGTGTGTTCCATTTCCATAGTTGGATTTGGAGGATTGGGAAAAACTGCACTTGCCCAACTCATATTCAACGATGAGGTGGTTCAAAATCATTTTGAGTTGAAAATATGGACATGTGTTTCTAATGCATTTGAGTTGGATATAGTTGTTAAGAAAATCCTTCAATCCGAACATAATGGGATAGAGCAGTTGCAAAATGAACTTAGGAGAAAAGTAGATGGGAAGAAGTACCTACTTGTGCTGGATGATATGTGGAATGAGGATCGAGAGAAATGGCTTAGCTTGAAGTACTTGTTAATGGGTGGCGGAAAAGGTAGTAAAATCCTAATAACCACTCGTAGTGAAATCGTTGGGACGACATCAGACACAGCTAAACCATACACCTTAAGGGGCTTGGATGAAAAGCAAAGTTGGTCTTTATTTAAGGAAATGGCTTTTATAGATGGAAAAGAGCCAGAGAATTCAACAATTAAGGAAGTTGGGATGGAGGTTGCAAGAAAATGTCAGGGAGTTCCACTCGCTATAAGGACGATAGGTGGGATGTTGCGCACCAAACATCACGAAAGAGAATGGTTGTATTTCAAAGAAAAGAAACTTTCAAAAATAAGCCAAAAAGAAAATGAAATTTTACCAACACTTAAATTGAGTTATGATGTGCTCCCATCACATTTGAAGCATTGTTTTGCTTATTGTAGCTTGTTTCCACCTGATTATAAGATCTATGTACATAAATTGATTCAATTTTGGGTGGCGCAAGGGTTCGTTAAGTCATCCGACGAAAACGAGTGTTTGGAGGATGTTGCGTATGAATATTACAATGAATTCTTGTGCAGATCATTTTTTCAAGAAGAAAAAGAAGATGAGTTTGGTAAAAGTTGTAAAATGCACGATCTCATGAATGAACTTGCAATCTTAGTGTCGGGGGTTGAAAGTGTCGTAGTTGAACCGAACCAAAAGAATTTTCATGAAAAGCTTCGTCATGTATCTTTCAATTTTGATATTAATTTGTCAAAATGGGAAGTGCCAACTTCCTTGCTAAAAGCATGCAAGATACGAACTTTTCTTTTGCTTTGCCAAAGGAGTTTGAGTGATATTGATGGGTCATCATGTGATTCATTTTGTGCTACAATTGTTTCAAATTTTAAGTCATTGCGGATGTTGAGTCTAAATGAATTAGGAATTAAAAAGGTGCCTAATTGTCTTAAAAAAATGAAACATTTGAGATATCTTGATCTTAGTGGTAATCCCATCAAGAGAATTCCAGATTGGATAGTTGGACTGTCGAATTTGGAAACACTAGATCTCACACTCTGTGGTGGGCTTGAGGAATTGCCTAGAGACATTAAAAAAATGATCAACTTAAGGCATCTCATCTTGAAAATGTGTAATGGATTGAGCGGAATGCCACGTGGAATTGGTGAATTGAAAGGTGTTTGTACATTGAATAGATTTGTTTTGAGGGAAAGCAATTGTTTGTGGAGGGGCGGTAGTGCTGGTCTTGGTGAGCTGGGGACCCTTAAGGAATTAAGGGGAGACTTGGTCATAAAGAATTTGAGGCATGTGGTGTCAGAGTCAAATGTTGGTACACCTTGCAAGGACAAACAACATCTCCATTCGTTAGGATTGTACTGGAAAGAGGGAGAAGATGTAAGCGCAGCTGATGAGGAGGATATTATAAAGTCAATGGAAGTATTGCAACCCCATTCAAATCTAAAGCAGTTGACAGTGTGGTACTATCGTGGTGTGAGGTTTGCGAGTTGGTTTTCTTGTCTCTTAAATATTGTTAATCTCGGATTGTATGGCTGTAAGAGATGCCAACATCTTCCACCCTTGGATCATTTGCCTTTCCTTAAGAAACTTGATCTTCGTGGGTTGGAGAAGTTGGAGTACATATTACTATCAGAGAATGAGAGCAGTAATAGTATGAGTGATGAGATGATGAGGATCTCATTCTTTCCCTCCTTGGAGGAACTCCACATTTACAGATGCCCTGTTCTGAAGGGATGGTGGAGGGCGCACACTCATAACAGTGCTTCTTCTTCATCATCAACGGAAAATCTGTCCTTGCCTTCTTTTCCCTGTCTTTCCAACTTGTCCATCATTGATTGTCCTAATCTAACTTCCATGCCTCTGTATCCAAATGTGGTTGAGATACTACTCAGCTGCTCCAGCTGGAAGGTTGTTTATTCCTTATTTGTTAGAGGAGCATCTGATATTACACATGATGTTGGTGTTGATGTTTCTGCCTCTTCTTCTTCCCATCATCCCTCCAAATTAACTTATCTGTCACTCCGTGGAATTGAAGATTTGGCATCACTGCCAGAAGAAATAAGCAATCTCACGTCACTGCAGTTTCTTCAAATTATTCAGTGCTCTAATTTGGCATCACTGCCAGAAGGGATTCGTGGACTCCCCTGTTTAAATACGTTGGTAATTTGGGATTGCCCCGTGTTAAGCGAAAGATGCAAGATAGAAACAGGTGAGGACTGGCTTAAGATTGCTCACATCCCACACATTGACATTGATTAAGGTGCGCTTTCTAACTTGTTTCAATTTACACCCTAATTCAATATAAACTATGAAATATTCAAATGCCAATCTCATTTCTTAATTTTTTTTTTCTTTATTCATCATTACCAACATTTTATTTTTTCTTTTCAGATGCCATGCCATGTGGATCAAAGATTTCGTCGTCCACACTTTCAACTTTAATTATTTTTATCAATCTCTTTATTTTCCTTATTGATTGCTTGGAGTGGTTGTATATGATTTTTCTTTTGATCATCAGGGTTTAGGTACCATGTTCTCCATGTTGTAATGTTTTTTCTTCGGTAATATAATATGGGCGTGAGGGCCTAGCCCCCCCCCAGCTTTGACTGGGTTCTAGCCCTCTTTAAATATTTCTTTTTAATATATGTTGATGCATTGGAAGCGAAACAATCTGTCACGTTGCAACATATAAGTTGCATGATTATACACAAACAATGGTAAAAAGAATTACATCTATTAATTGTCAATGCACTGGAGTCAGACACAAATATCTGCTCCAACACCCGAAATTAATCACAATAAAAGCTACATTCTCAGTAAAGCAAATAAACTGATTATGTTTTGTTTAGTCAAAAGGAAATTCATGAAAACCATTACATAAACAAAAGTATTAGTTGTTTTTTCTAAGTCCTCTCTCTCTATAAACAACTCAAACAACTCTTAATTAGTTTCCTTATTTTCTTTTCCTCGATTTCCTTAGCAATCAAATGGTCTCAATAAAGAAGAACAAATTCTTGAACGTACCGTATGTTTACAAATATTTCTTTTCTTTCCTTTTTTCATTACCCAATTGAACCGGTCCCTTTTCTTAATATGCAATCAAAATCTATTGATCTCTCAAGTTTTCTTCAAAAATCTGAAGATGCTTGTATTGCCAAGAACTAAAAAGGGGGAAAGTACGGACCTTGATATTCACACAGAGATCTTCCATGTAGTTCTCTGGTATCTACAAAAACAAACTTATCAACAGACCAAAGGAAAATTATTACAACCTCTGCAAAAACAAAAAACGATATGGTTGTCAAGCGAGCCCTTAAATTAATGGCCCTAGTGTTAAAGAAAACTGTTAGCATCTATTGTTAAAAATACCTGCCAAGAAAAGATGAAAATAAAATATTAGGCATGAGTGTAAGCTTACGGAAACTTAGTTTTTGTACATTTTCTTCTCCCTTCAATGACAGTTTGTTTCTTATTCAGAAGAGCAAATTACAACGACCCAATGTCTACTAAAAACTTGGAGAAGGGACTCGATTAGTCAACAAAGAGGTGCCTCACACTTTCATATTAAAGATCAAAGAGAGAAAACCAAGCTGAACTCTTCGAAATTCGTTGGCACACATGCGTCATTCGCTCAATTGAATGTATAATGCATACTTAGATACAACGATTCGAACAATTGTCATAGATTTGACATAAGCCTCCAAACTTCAAAAATATTGATACCTTAAGAAAGTGGAACAAGTCTTCCTCATATTTGTGTTGTTTCAATTAGCTTATCCTGCGATCACTTGATTCATTAGTTCTAAAGGAAGTTCTAATCACTATAAAAACAGTTTAAGAACAGTTGATTATCTCTAAAACAAAGAGGGCAAACATAGATATACTATCTGTACTCAAATGAATTCATACGCATAGAGCAACATTTGTGCCAGACCGAGGCGAAGGAGGAGGAGGACGGTGAAACGCTTGTTTCTGTAGAGGTGACTGGAATTTACATAAACCCTAACCATATACACAAAGAATGTAGCAGTTTCTGTTCTTTTAGACTTGTATATTGCAGTAGAATCTCACCCCTAATGAAACATATTTCCAGCTTGAATTAATCGGCGTTCAGTAGACGCTAGTGTACTTATGGTATTTAGTAGATTCTCTTCTTCTTCACTCCTCGATAGCCAGCATTTCGACTCGTAGAAGTTGTAACAGATCGTAAATCGCCGCTAACTGACAGTGAGATGCTTCTTCTGAATAAAAACAGTGGACTTCATTTCTCACCTCAACCCAACTGCATCCACCACTCTTCTTCAACCCCCTATCCCTCATTAATCTCCTAATTTCCATAACATCGGTCCATTTTCCGGCCGAAGAGTAGATATTCGACAACATTACGTAGCCTGAAGAGTTCTTTTCTGCTAATTCTGAAAGCTTTTTGGCTGTCCGTTCCGCTATCTCCTCGTTTTTATATCTATTACACCCACTCAATAGAGCAGCCCATGCATTACTCTCGGGTTGAAATGGCATGGATTTCAGAAGCTCTTCGGCTTCAACAAGTTGTCCTGAACGGGACAGCATATCCACCACGCAGGTGTAGTGTCTTCCTTTTGGCTTTGTACCGTAAACAGCCTCCATCGAATTAAAGTACCGCAATCCTTCGTCGATTAAGCCGGTGTGAGAACAAGCGAAAAGAACAGATAAAAGCATGAGCTCGTTAGGAGCAACAGTTGAAGTTCGTTTCATTTCCTCAAACAAAAACAGAGATTCCGCAGCAAAACCATTTTCTGCTAGCCCCTGAATCATCACAGTCCAACTGATTTCATTCTTCTCAGGCATTCTATCGAACACGCTCTTAGAACTCTCAATATCCCCAGATCTCGCATACATATCAGCTAGGGCAGTACCTACAAAAACATCATATTGAACTCCATGTTTAACTGCTTTCCCGTGAAGGTTCTTTCCTTTCTCTAACGAGGCTATGCTCGCACAACCAGAGAGCACACTTGAAAAGGTGGATATGTTTGGAGTTTCACCACACAAAAGCATCTCATTAAACACTTCAAATACCTTATCAAATTGTTTGTTCTCTAAGTAACCTCCAACCATAGTATTCCACGATATATTGTTTGGTGTGGGTATGCTATCAAACAACACCTTAGCTTCTTCCATTTCTCCATTCAGACAATACCCGGCAACCATAGAATTCCACGAGACCACATTCTTCTCTGGAATCGAGTCAAATGCCGTGCGTCCATCCTTAGTTTCTCCACACTTGCAGTACAAATCGATGAGAGAGCTACTGATAAAGACATCTTTCTCGAATCCAATTTTCACAACATGTGCATGGATGTTCATTCCCACTCTTAAAGCCTCGAGGGTGGCCAGCGTGCTAAGAATGCTAGCCAAACAAGACCTATTTGGGATGAATCCACTTTGAATCATCTGAAGAAACAGTTTCAAGGCTTTTTCCGGATGTCCACTCTGACTGTACCTTGCAATCATTGCACTCCAAGAGACTTCGTTTCTCTCTGGCATCTCATCAAAGATTCGACGCGCTTCTCTCAAGTCTCCCGCCCCAACATACATATCTAGGATTGCGGTCCAAGATACAACATCTCTCTTTTCCATCTGATCAAATACTCTCCTAGCCAAGGCCTTTTCGCCCATCTTCAAACATAATGTAATTAAGGAATTAGAAACCGATAAATTGTGTTCATATCCAGTCTTAACAATCAACCCTAAAACACTCATCCCCCAACCGATCTCACCAAACCCGGCACAAGCTCTAACAACAGAAGTAAATGTAACATCATTAGGCCTGACCCCAGAACCAAGCATCTTCAGAAAAAGCTTCAATGCTTCAACATTCAACCCGTTCTGCACCAACCCGCTAATCCCAGCCGTCCAAGAAACCACATTATGAAACGGGTTTCTCTCAAAGTACCACATCGACTCGTCCACCCTTCCGCATCTCATTAACCCCGATATCAACGCAGTCCACGAAACCTCGTTTCTTTCAGGCATTTCATCAAACAGGCGGCGTGCTTCATTGAGATTTCCCCATTGAATGCTCGCATTGATCAAGCAATTATGCACCGTTGAATCAAACCCATCGAACCCCTTAACGATCTCACTAACTTCATCAGATTTTCTCGAATCCAAGTACATAATTAGAAGCCTGATGGCTATAAATCTCTCCGATGAAAGACCAATTTTGATCAGATGGCCGTGAAGGGCCATTCCGTCGGCGATGCGCCGGTTTTCGGTTTGGGTTTTGAGAAGGGAACCGCATGTTTGCAGGTAAGTTCTGAGATTTTTGCTTGCGAGAGTGCCGAAGAGGGTTTTGAATTTGATGGCACTTCTCATGCTGCCAGCGCGCGAGCCAACTTCAAATCCGCCGACTTATATACTGAGCAGGCAAGACAGGAGAGAGAAACCTCGGAACATCGTTGACGTGTACTTGTGAAGTTTCGACACGTGTCTCCAAGACATGCTGTTTTGAATTAGCTTGAGGAGAAATTTTTTATTGTGACGAGAATATGAATAGTACACCATATATTATTATATAAGTGAAGTGATGGGAAATTTTATTTTTTAAGTTATTAATTTTTTAACATACATCTCACCAGTTATTATATAAGTGAAGTGATGGGAAATTTTATTTTTTAAGTTATTAACTTTTTAACACATATATCTCACCAGTTGTATAATGATGCGTAGTGTATCACCCGTGTACCGGTCACACTGAAAAATCTCTTTAGCTTGAGTTATTAAATAGAAAAGTTGTACAGTGATACGAGCTGAACCCTTAGATGAATTTCGGCAAAACATACCGAAAGGGAAGAATAAGTCCGGCGCATACATATTGAATTTATTTGGAGCAGTTCGGCAGCAGAACCAAGTTCGCACGTTGCAGCAACCCAATCTAAAACCAAGCAATATATTCACATCCAACTTCAACCATTACATAATCGATTCACGCAATATATCCATATCCAACCCAATTTCAAACTAACCACTACAGGGTGTCTCATTAATTGGAAACGAATTTCAAACTCGTATTTTACATGGCACGAATAGGGTTCGATTCCTGACGCTAATGAATCATACGATGCGGTCAAAAAAAGACTGAAATGTTTCTGTGAGTCTTTCTCACTTAAAAAATATGAACTATTGTGACGAAGTAACTAACTAGCCTCGAATTTGTTTGCATTACACATGCTCATCTGCTCTTGTCACCTTCGCTAATTCTACTCTACACAACAAAGTTAGGTTGTCGATCCCCACCAAGCTCAATTATTTAAGGGGTGTTTTAGTCTTCTTAGTTAACTTTGTCGCGGTTATATGATGTGAGGAAATTTCCATTTACTGAAAAATCTCAGATCATAATTTGGACGCAGAGGAGGTGTCGCAAGACAGGAAATGCCAAACACTAATCTTTCCCCGTTGTATCATTCTTCGTCACATATTTTATGTCGGCAATGACCACAAATCAATATCACTCGAATGCATCTTTTACTTTGATCAATCATGAGTCCCTAGAAAACCGTGTTCATTTACCGTTTGAGAGAACAGTTATGAATTAATATCAAATGTTGAGTGATTAAAGTTTTCTTAGAACCTATAAAATCGGTATAAATGATCAGCTGTCGTTAAATTATGATTGAACAATGAGTAACTAAGTTTTTCTTAGACCCTAGAGTTTGAGAGAATAGTTATGAATCTGAAGAAGGTCGATGTTCTATTATAAAATCAATTGGTTTTATGGAGAGTGGTCAAATTACTTATAAGCACATGCAAAGTACTTTATTTTCCTAATGTGAGAGTGATACTCTCAACACACTCCTCACGTGTAACGAATTTTCCAGCCTAGCACGTGTGACTATTAAGCTTCACACGCAAGACAACTTGCTATGATACAATGAAACATGGAGTTCTATCATAAAACCAATTGGTAATATTGAAAGTAGCTCAATTACTTATAAGCACATGCAAATTCTCTCTTTTCCCGATGTGGAATGATACTCTCAACAGAATCAATCATTTTATTTTCACTTAAGATATTATTTTGTTTATGCAAAGAATTTTATGATTAAGAATCCTCAATTTACATCTTTTTCATCTTTTACACAATCAACATGAAATTGAACTTAAAATCTCGATTACATAAATAAACTCTCCTTGTGAAAATTACAATGTTGTTGTGTCTTGTTTCTTTTTATGAAAAAACAATAAATCATAAATTGAAAGTGAAATTAAGAAAACAAGAGCAGTTGCAACCTTCCCAAAAGAAAAACAAGACCACAATCATGCCTTTACAAAAATTCCAATTTGTATATAGAACCGTCCTGATTAGAAATCAAGGTCGAGACTGACCAAACAAAGTCAAAATTCTGTCACCAATTGAGAGGATAAAACGCGCTATTCAATACATGTTTGTCTCACAGTAATCAATTCCTCTTGGTTGTGAGCTTAAAACTATCGTCTTGAAAAAATTCTTGTGTGTCCGATAGTCGGATTATGTAAAAGTCTGATCCACTCACAAAGGAATGAAAACTTTGCGTTGGGCTTTGTACTTTTTTTTTTCCTTGAGAAAAGGTAAGGAGTTTTCTTAAAAGTGAAACTCTTCATGAAGTTTCTGTTGACTCATGTTTTTTACACAATGTTTTATAATATTGACATGAAAATTGAAGTTAAACTGTAAGATATCAGAGAATTCACGAAGAATCCCAATTCAAGTGTCTCCGCAACATTTCTCTTCTACCTTTGCATTGTGTTTTGTACTTTCATGAAGTTTATGTTGCCTCATGTTTTTTGCACAATATTTTATAATATTGGCATGAAAATTGATATTAAACTGTAAAATATCAAAGAATTCACGAAGAATCCCAATTCAAGTGTCTCCGCAACATTTCTCTTCTTCCTTTGCATTGTGTTTTGTACTTGATTAAAATTAAGTGGTACCTAGACATAAATAATTTGTTTCTTTGTGCTTGATTTAATTGTCGGACGCAAGATTTTCTCCTCCTCGTAAATTTGAAAGAAGGGATTCTAACAAGACACACTGAACTTTATACGATGGTTGGACAAACGTAATGAATATTGCTATTGGAAGTGAGTGGCCCCTTATTCTCTTGTCCTTGTCCTCATAATTCCAAGAGAACGAATTGAACACTTTGAAAGCAAAGGGTGGAACTAGTGAAGGCAAATTAATTTGCAAATTCTTACATGAGGGATTGAAACAAGAAAAAATTATATAGAATGAGTTCACTGTTATTCTGGTGTTCAATTTAATGATGTAATGGTACATGTAATTTTCCTTATACATGTCACTGCATTATTAAATTAGACCGTCATAAGACGATAAACTCGTTGCATCTAAAAGCTGCTCTCGATATAAAAACATCTTTAACTTTAACTAAGGACTAATATATAAAATAGTGTTATTCACACTTATTTTGACCTCGCACACTCTTTTTAATCTTTTGCTATCGATCTTCTTCAATTCATTTCATCGAACGACCGAAAATTGAAAGGAGTGTGTGTGAAAGAAAAATAGGTGTGTGGATAACCGAATATATAACTGTGATGAGTACAAGCAAAAGACACATCTTAAAGCACCAAAAAAATATCAGACAGGTTTGCTTGCATTGCTTCTGGCTCTTTTTCCTTCTTTGCCTTAATAATTAACAACCGCTGCTGCAATGGAAGCTAAAGATGCTGACGAAGAACAAGTACTAAAAGATCATCGTAGTATGTTTGCATTACCAGTAGATGCTGATCAAAAGGCCACAGAGTTGAGGTTATTTTCAATAGCGCCACCCCACATGCTGGCCTTCCACCTTGCATGGCTCTCCCTCTTCTCCAACTTCTTCTCCACCTTCTCCATCCCTCCCCTCCTCGCCGTCATCCGCGACGACCTCAACCTCACCGACACAGACACCGGTCACGCAGGCACCGCTGCTTTCCTCGGCTCCATCTTCTCCCGCATTGCCATGGGCCCTATATGCGACCTCCTCGGTCCCCGTATCGCCATCGCCACCCTCTCCCTCCTCACCGCCCCCGTCATCCTCTCCACATCCCTCGTCTCCTCCCCTAACTCCTTCATCGCCATCCGCTTCATCGCCGGCTTCTCCCTCGCCAACTTCGTCGCCAACCAGTTCTGGATGAGCTGCATGTTCTCGGGATGCGTAGTCGGCCTTGCCAACGGCTTCTCCTCCGGCTGGGCCAACATGGGCTCTGGCGTCACCCAGCTTGTCATGCCACTCATTTATTCTCTCATCATGTCATTCAACGTGCAGTCCTTCGCAGCTTGGAGGCTGGCATTTATCGTGCCAGCAGTTTTTCAAGTTGTGACGGCCATATTGGTCCTAATGTTTGGCCAGGACCTACCTTCCGGGAGCTACAAACGCTCTCAGAAGGTCGAAAATAAGTTCAAAGAGAGCTTATTAAGTGTTATTTCTAAAGGGGTCAAGAATTATAGAGCATGGATTTTGGCGTTGACTTATGCCTTCAGTTTTGGAGTGGAGTTGACGACTGATAATATCATAGCTCAATATTTCTACGACAGATTCAACGTGAATCTTGAGGTGGCGGGGATCATAGCGGCCAGCTTCGGAATGACGAATTTCTTTTCAAGGCCGAGTGGCGGGTTAGTTTCCGATAAGCTGGCGCAGAGGTTCGGGATGAGGGGGAGGTTGTGGGGGTTGTGGGTGGCGCAGACGGTGGCGGGCTGCTTGTGTTTGTTACTCGGGCGAGTCAACTCGCTCTGGGGATCCATACTTGTCATGTGTGCGTTTTCTATCTTTGTACAAGCTGCTGCTGGCCTCACGTTTGGCGTGGTGCCGTTTGTGTCCAAAAGGTACGTAGCGATGGAATGACACTCCACATGTTGTCTAGTAATTAATTAGAATTTATGAGTCATATTCCCCTCTATGTGTTGGTCCCACTTCTACCGTTTGATTCTTGATGACGCAACAAGACGATTAGTTATTCCCGTAAGGGTTTTGCTAAGATCAATCGCCAATGCGTTTGGATGATTATTATTGTTGGTGTTGATGGGATCCATTGGTGACACGCAAGCAACAACAGGCATCTTACCAATGGTCAAAAATCACTCACGCTAAGATCAGTTGATAACGTACTTGAGTGGCCGATGATTGTCGGTGCTGATGGGAACTGCTGGTGACATGCCCCGTCGACACCAACAATCATCTCACACCAATGGGCAAAAAAACAACCATAAACGCACGCATCACGGTTGACCGTAGCACAACTCTATTGGAGTGACTAGCTAGATACTTCCCTAGAGAAACAATAATGACTAATTATAGTGCTTAGCACCATTACCATGTAAACATATCAGTTTAATTACTGAAAATCCAAACTTTAACGATGCAGGTCACTGGGAGTGGTATCGGGGATCACCGGCGGCGGAGGAACAATGGGGGCGGTGGTCACCCAGCTGCTGTTGTTTTCAGGCACGGAATTCTCCAAGCAGACGAGCATTTCTCTGATGGGTGTGATGATGATAGTGTGCACTCTCCCAGTCTCCCTCATCTACTTCCCTCAGTGGGGTGGAATGTTCTGCGGCCCTTCCTATAGCTATGGCGATCATCTAAGCGGACCAGAAACTGAAACAAACCATTATCACTTGCTCGAATAGAATTCTCGAATTGATACGAGCCTCGAGTTCCATGGAGAAAGCAAAAGTTTGTATTCAAGAAGCCCTGTAACATAAATTAGCCTTTCTGCAGAATATGACTGGCCTTCATTTATGGGTAGATTGTTGTTCTAAAAGTACTGAATAAGACTACAATTTGGCAGCTACTATACTATAGTTGGCATACCACCTCTTTCGTTGCACTGAATTTTTCTATGCACTTGGGGGAGGGGGTGGAAGAAAACCAGAAAAATGTTGAATGAAGCTCGATAAAACGACACTGAACTTACACGGTTTTCTTTCCTTTCAAGTATATGCTTTAGTGACCGCTTTATGAGAACATACAAGATGATCCTTGATTGCGTCCAAAGTTGGCACATGCCACCAACCACCAAGAATTCCAACCAAAGTGAACTTCTGGTCTTGCACTTCAACTTTAGCAAGACATAGAAGCTTAAAGTCTTCAACTTCAACCTTATGCGCGAACAATGGCTGTAGAGGAAAGAAACACAAGCTTTTAGAAGTAGGTTATACTTAAGTATTCTAGTTTTTCGTAATGGTAATGGGACACTTGCCTTGTTATGCAAGCAAGGATCTTTGCGCTTGAGCCGATGACATAACTGCAAAACATCAAGTTTCGAATAAGGTTTTCCTGACAAGAACTACTATTACCATCAACACTAAAGCATTAACCAATATAATGCATTAGTCACCGTAAAAAATGTTGCAGTAATCATAAACCCAAAAACAAAGTTACCACTCTGAGAATTCTAGTCACGGAACAATAGGAGACTCGTTAGTTCCTACCATCTAAACTACAACACACCCCAATCCGATTCTAAAAGAAAGCAGCTCTTGCAATTCCTCGATTGCAAACAACGAGACATGGTTTGTCTTCGAATAGGGTAGCAGGTTGACAAACCCCAATTGATTAGGTGGTAAGAGCTTAGTAAACACATAAAATTACCGTGGGATGGTTCCTTACCTCTTCCACAAAAACATAAACTGACAAAGGATTAGGCTTGGTGCTCAGGAGGAAAAGAGCAAGCTTCAATCCAAGCGGTGTAATATGATGATCCCAGCACGCCAACGCAGTAATACAAAAAAAGAAAGGCAGCCATAATTTCCTCATAAACTTCCTGAATTCCCTTCTATCTTCCTCCACATCCAAAGCACCCGGCGCTCCCAAATTATGATCATTCACCAACATATCCTGGCCTACATTATCGAAATTCAAATCAGGGAAGTTAGTAAAGAGGTATGCTTCACAGTCTAAAGAATTTACAACATCAAAATCGGGTGCGTGGTTTTTTTCCCCTCACCTTCCACAGCATATGCAGCATTTGGCAAGAAGCTGACTGACCAAAACAAAACCGTCACACCAAGAATGCTTCCGTATCTCAACTTACTTCCTGAAAGCAAAATTACGGAAACTACCAATTAAACACCATGCAAGCTACAGAGAAAACACTTCAGGAGCTCAATTGGAGAAAAAGAAAAACCCGATCATCAATCCACTTGCGACGCTCTAATTTGATTCGTAGTACTGAAATACCGTCCCATTACAAAGTTAGCTTGGTTGTTTTTCCTCCTAAGTTTTTCGGTTCGAGGTATTTTTCTCGCTGTAATGTTGGTTTCCTTTTGGGTTCGTTACTGAATGCCATCAAACATGTTCAAGTTTCAACAACCAAAACCGAAAATTGGCGCCATAAAAGATGATCAATTACCAAAAATTTACAGCTTCCTAATCGAATTTACGGTATGAACTTTAATTTGAAGCAAAATCGAACCTGAAAACCAGAATTTCTCAAGAGAATTGTTTTGCAAATTGAAGTAACGATGAAACGTTGAGGCGCGATTCCGCAGTACTGGTTCAAACTTGGCATAATCTGAACAATTAATTACACCCAAATAATCAAATATTTGTAATTAAATACAAAATCTGACAAAATTTCATCCAAAAAAATACTTACAGAATTGCCTGGAAGGAGAGATTGAGGAGCGGGAAGAGATTAGTGAACTTAGGGATTTCCGAAACGGAGAAAGAAGTTTTGTCGCGGACGCCATTTTTGCACTGCTACGAAGCTACTACCATCTCTGGGCGCTTTAGTGCATAAGACGACGGCGCTTTGCTTTGAAATTACTTTCCGCGCCGGCGCGGCGTCGTACTTTTCAAAGAAAAACTAGACGACATCTTCCGAAATAGAGTGACGACTTTGAGCAGGAAGGAAATGCTAAAAGCCAATACTGCCCTTATAGTTGTTCGTGATCTCTAAGGGTGGAATCGACATTATGTATTCTTCGTATTCAAGAATTTACCCCTTGTCTTGTCTAAAATTATTTTCTAGGGAGCTTTAACCAAAAGCTCTCGATACTGTTTATTTTAACGAAAAATCATATTTTTACACTAAAAAATCCATCATGGTACTATTTACTTTAGCCTTTATTTTGTCCTTATCATTAAAACTCAAAGTTTTCAAGCTTTTTTCATTAATTTTCCTTATTTTCTAGTTGCGAATTGGTCCTTTTGCAGTTCGGAAATGGATCCCCGAATCATTTCCATCAAATCCACTCAATTAGGAGATTCAGATCCGAATTGGTCCTTTTGCATGGAAAGGGATCCATTCCGAATTCCTTCCACTAAATCCACTCAATAAGGAGATCCAGATCCTTGAAATTTGATCAACGGCTAAAATTATTATAACTTTTAAGGGACCCTATTTTTAGCCGTTGGATCAAATTTCAAGGATCCGGATCTCTTGATTAGGTGGATTTGGTGGAAGAAATCTAGAGATGATCCCTTTTCTTGCAGTTCAAGACAATTTTTTTTTGTATAAGAAATTTATTGGTAGCTTTACCTGCAGAGCACTCTTCTGAGGACCAGAGCGAGTCACATATGCAATTTAGACTCTCCTAGCCATTAATTTACCAACAGCAAGAATCAAACTAAATACGTAGTATCTGAAATACGGCCTTAAAATTCGTCTCAATCGCTGAGTCATCCGGTGGGGTTTAGCTCAGGACAATATCTGAGAAAGACACTTATCAGTCCTGGGAGGACTCATGGACGGATGGTTAAGAAAATATCTGACAGAAATATCCGTCATAATTTTCACTTATATTTTCATTGAAAATTAGAAATTGGAGACTCAGATTACATCTGGAAAATCCAACATGGCTGTCTCTGTCTGGGCAGTGTCCTCCATTTCCAGATTTCCAGTACCAAAAGCTTTCCAAGTTCATGAGAACAAGAAGCCCATCTGGAGGTAATTTGTTTAATCTCATGCTAATCATAATTAAGCTTACTTTGAAGTTTATTAAATCAAATTAAAAAGATTTTAAATTTTTTAACAAGTTCAAAGTTGCATAGTAATTTCTGATACTTTGAGGTTGGAATACTTGAATGTTTAGCAGAATCCGATGTAAGAAAGAGGGAGCAGAGGAAATGGCAACGGGAAAGAATTACTATGAATTGCTCGGTGTTTCGGTTGATTCAAATCCGAAGAAAATCAGACAAGCTTATAGGAAATTGCAGAAGAAATATCACCCAGATGTTGCAGGCCAAGAGGTAATAATCCCAATCCAATCGAGGGTCCGTTTGAGAATGCTTGTGTCGGAAGCACTTTGCTCATAAGCGTTTCTGTTAGAAACATATCAAAATTAATTAAAAATTGGAGTGATTCCTATAAAAGTACTTAGAAGTGATTCCTGGATTTATTCAGAAAACGGTTCTATGATCAAGAAACGCTTTTAAGTCTTTTATGCCAAGCAGGGTCACGAGTATACGCTAATGATTCCTATAAAAGTACTTAGAAGTGATTCCTGGGTTTATTCAGAAAGCGGTTCTATGATCAAGAAACGCTTTTTAAGTCTTTTATGCCAAGCAGGGCCACGAGTATACGCTAATGATTCCTATAAAAGTACTTAGAAGTGATTCCTAGGTTTATTTCTATGATCAAGAAATGCTTTTAAGTCTTTTATGTCAAGCAGGGCCACGAGTATACACTAATGATTCCTATGAAAGTACTTAGAAGTGATTCCTGGGTTTACTCAGAAAGCAGTTCTATGATCAAGAAACGCTTTTTAAGTCTTTTATGCGAAGCAGGGGCACGAGTATACGCTAAAGTTGAATGAAGCGTACAAAGTTCTGATGAGAGAGAATCTGAGGAAGGAATACGATGCATCCATTGGTAAAGTCAGAGTAGCTGGATTCAGAGCAGGAAACACACCATCGTCAAGCTTAGGTTCTTCATGGAACGGACCTTTCAGACCCCAAGCTCTCTTTGTTGACGAAAATGCCTGCATAGGTATTCAACTCGTATGTCTAATTCGCGTAAAAACGTATCTAGATTCGCGTTAGTTTCTAAGTACATTGAATCGCAACTGAATTTCTGGCAGGTTGCAGAGAATGTGTGCACCATGCAAGTAGCACCTTCATGTTTGATGATGCTCTCGGATGTGCTAGGGTTAAAGTTCAATATGGCGACGATGAACAAAAGATTGAGGTAAACTACTTAGCGCTTGTGCACTAACTAGTAAGTTAATATGACGCTAATTACTCATTGATAACCGATAGAGGATAAGCGGAAGTAAAAACTTACTGCAGGTATCAGTAGATTCGTGCCCTGTGAACTGCATTCATTGGGTGGAGAAGGAAGAGCTGCCGGTGCTTGAGTTCCTGATTCAGCCTCAGCCGACGGAAGGGTATGGCATATTCGGAGGAGGGTGGGAAAGACCTGCAAATGTTTTCATGGCTGCTAAATCCTACAATAAACAACAACAAAGATGGCAGGAGGAAGCCGAAAATGAAAACAATCCAAGAAAATGTAAGAACTTTCTTGACTCTGATAAATTACCTGAACTTATGTTCCACCATTTTCTGAAACACAAAATAATGAATTGCAGCGCGTGCGACTGCTGAAGAAGAAACCCCTGCACAAGCCAAGGCTCGGGAGGACGCGAGTAGGAAGATAAACATGGAAGGGTTCTCAAGATTCTGGCAATGGCAAAACAAGCCTTTCTGGGGCAAAAAGGGGGAATAAGAAGCAACCATTTTATACTAACAATTGGCAGCTAGTGAACATTTGTGCATATATATTGTATATACATCATAGAATTCATCATATTCACTGGTAATAGCAGCTACTCAGTTTTCTTCTGTGACCTCACGGTCGGATTCAGCGTATCGTCTGGGGAGTTTTCTTTCTGTGATTGGATTGCAAGAAAATTTGAGGAAAACTAATGAAAATAGTTTGAAAACTTTGAGTTTTAACCAAAAGGACAAAAAGATGTTGTAAGAGAATAGTATCAGGAGTGATTTTTTAGAGCAAAAATGTCCTAAACGTGAACAGTGAACAGTAGCATGAGTGTTTCGTTAAAACTCCCGAAAATTTGATGTATAGTAGGCTGGCTGGCCCCTTGCAATTACCTTTCATATTATTGCAAATAAAATCTTTATACAGTTGAAAATTACAAAAACGCAGCCTTCAACACATGCAGATTGGCAAAATATATAGAATGGATTCATAATTGAGGTCCTAAGATAACATCTGGAACATCTCTACACCATTTTATGTTACAAGATCATCGATCTTTCTGTATGATCCTCGATGAAAAAAATCGACTTGCCATCCATCAAACAATCAATGGTCCAGAAAGCCTTGTTCCAACTATTTGGGAAGTGAGGAGTTTGTTACGTGAATCCGGGTCCTCCAACGCAATGCCACGCCTTCAAAATCCCAACCACAACAACGGCTTCGTAGCTAAGTTATATGATTAGCCAAGTTGCGGAATCAATCTCCCGGTTTAAAGCTGAAATGGTCCCTTGATTGCATGTGCCATCGTATTTTTCTGTTCGCTTTGCATAAATCAATGGAGCTGACATTTGTTTGTTCCAGCACAAACGGCGCACTCCTCTGCTTCTCCAGCAACACGGCTTAAGCAGTGATTGATCCTATCATTCATAACATCCTGCAACCAGAGAGTCAGAGACCTCATATTATATGGTGCAAAAGAAGTTCTGCGAAATATAACAAGCACAATCTCCCTTTCGTAGACATTCTATACCGAAAAATCTGTCTGTTTCTAAAACCACTGATTGATAGCCAATGCTTCAGAATATTCTGTGACGTTTACAAGAAGAAAAACAAATTAAGGGAACTCCATAGTCATACCACAAGTAGCGGATGGAGGCCGAGGGGTGCGGTTACTATATACGAGACACCAGGATGCTCCTTTGCAGCTTCAGCTGTCAGGGATGGAATGTCCTGTGAAATAATACACCCATTTTACCACGTTTTCTTAATCATTCATAAAGACATTGTCGAAAGAAAAAAATTCAACCGCGACCAATAGACCATAATTATTACCCCCGTCGATAGGATATTATGTTGTTAGTTGAGCTACCTGGTTCCAATGTCTTCCCGGTAAGAGGAAGAACGGGCTCACAATTACACGATTAGCCCCTTGTTCAACACACGAATTGAATGCATCCTGAATTGATGGTTCCGCCAACTCCTAATCATCGAAAATTTACCAACACAATGAGGACTTCACCAAATAAGAGGATCAAAGAAACGCATTGTGAACAACATCCAACTGAAACTATGAAAATCAATCAACAACAACAACAACAACAAAAACAAAGCCTTTTCCCACTAAGTGGGGTCGGCTATATGAATCCTAGAACGCCATTGCGCTCGGTTTTGTGTCATGTCCTCCGTTAGATCCAAGTACTCTAAGTCTTTTCTTAGAGTCTCTTCCAAAGTTTTCCTAGGTCTTCCTCTACCCCTTTGGCCCTGAACCTCTGTCCCGTAGTCACATCTTCGAACCGGAGCGTCAGTCGGCCTTCTTTGCACATGTCCAAATCATCGGAGCCGATTTTCTCTCATCTTTCCTACAATTTCGGCTACTCCTACTTTACCTCGGATATCCTCATTCCCAATCTTATCCTTTCTCGTGTGCCCACACATCCCACGAAGCATCCTCATCTCCGCTACACCCATTTTGTGTACGTGTTGATGCTTCACCGCCCAACATTCTGTGCCATACAACATCGCTGGCCTTATTGCCGTCCTATAAAATTTTCCCTTGAGCTTCAGTGGCCTACGACGGTCACACAACACGCCGGATGCACTCTTACACTTCATCCATCCAGCTCGTATTCTATGGTTGAGATCTCCATCTAATTCTCCGTTCTCTTGCAAGATAGATCCTAGGT